GTTTCTGGGGAGCTAGGTGATAAGGGTTGTGATTCACATTCAGCTTCGCTATCGACGGCCTTGCAGTTTCTTGAATACACATTCCATTCTTATTGCATCCTAATTCTATCCCCAGAAGCCTCTAATAATGCTTTTCCTTAACATATATATAACTTTATATACAAAGGTGCAGTTATAAAATACATTCTACTATAAGCTGCTCTAATCAAAAGATTCTAGGTTACGTACCAAGATCTGGATCTATTATAATTAAACTTTTGAAGGCACAGTGACAGCTGTCAATATATAAACATGTCAAGAGGAAATGTCAGACCCCACATTCAGAAATCACATTCATTTTTCCCTAGTCCTACACCAAGGAAGGAGAAGCTTCATGTGACTGTTGTACAATATTCCTTGGAAAAAAATGTGTGTCTGCTGAGTAGAAAACCTGCAGAAATGTGTTCTTAGGAGCTTTTCTGACTTCCAAGTTGTCATGTGAAGCCTGTTGTAATAATAGGCAACTGGTTTTTGTTTACTTAGCAGTGTTGTTCTGTGTGTAGTTCATGGGTGTCAGAGGAGCAGAGCTGGTAAACTGCAGCATCCTTCTGTTCCTGCACAAATTTGAGTTCTGCAGGTTGCGTTATCACGGCAGGCTATGACGGTTGTCTTTCCTCATAACCGAAATAGGTGCGCGAGAACTAAATAAGCTGTGACTTCATAGCTCCATAGTGGTGGTGTCTTCCGGCAACCTCATGAGGTTTTCAAGGGAAGAGGCATTCAGAGGTTATTTGCCATTGCCCGCCTCTGCGTCGCAACAACCCTGGGCTTCTTTGGCAGTCTCCCATCTAAATACTCACCAGGGTCGACCCTGCTTAGCTTCTGAGATCTGACAAGTGGGGGCTAGCCTGGCTTATCCAGGTCATGGTCAGTGTTTCCTCTAGGGCAGTGGTGGTGAACCTATGGCACGGGTGCCAGAGGTGGCACTCAAAGCCCTCTCTGCGGGCACGCGTGCCATCGCCCCAGCCAGGCCCAGACCTCAGCTCAGGAAGGAGGGCTCCAGAGCAAACTAATTCATGCAGTAGCCAAATCGCTCGCTCACAGCTTTAATGCCAGAAGCTCACAAAGTAGAGTTTTTGCTCACAAGACTCCACAGCCTAGATGGAGCATTGGTCATGGTATATATCGCTGCCTGCATTGGGCCTGTTGAATTCATCTTCTCTCATCTCCTCCCTCCCCACCAAGGTGCTACATTTTTTGTAACTCCAGGAACGACAGAAAAGTCAGAAACAATGGTTTGTCGACTTTCCAACAACCAGAGGTAAGAAGCGTGCTCAGGAATTAAGTGGCGTTCATGTGCCTAAACTGCTCGTATCCTGATCGTACCATGCATTCTCCTTGGAACTGTTGTGTGGAGTTAGTACAACTTCTGCTTGTAAGCAGGAAACAAGTTACAGTTTTAAGTGCCCGATTTGGCATCTCAGCAAATCCGGGGTTTACTGAATATATATCGCTGCCTGCAATGGGCCTGTTGAATTCATCTTCTCTCATCTCCTCCCTCCCCACCAAGGTGCTACATTTTTTGTAACTCCAGGAACGACGGAAAAGTCAGAAACAATGGTTTGTCGACTTTCCAACAACCAGAGGTAAGAAGCGTGTTCAGGAATTAAGTGGCGTTCATGTGCCTGAACGGCTCGTATCCTGATCGTACCATGCATTCGCCTTGGAACTGTTGTGCGGAGTTAGTACAACTTCTGCTTGTAAGCAGGAAACAAGTTATAGTTTTAAGTGCCCGATTTGGCATCTCAGCAAATCCGGGGTTTACTGAAGGCTTTCGAAATTGCAGTTTGGGCACAGGCACGAGGAGGAGACGGGGGTCTTTTTTTTTGACATGTAGATGCAGCCTGGAAGTTTGTCTCCAGGGATTGGGTAGTGGAGGGGGGGGGGGGTGACCCATACCAGGAAGCAGAATTTATGATCACCATTTCCAGATGTTTGGGGGAAAGATCAGCTTGATAGCGGAAGGTTTTCTAGCCGCAAGGGACATCTTAGGCAGAACGCCTGGGCCTTTCCACTCGAAAGAGCAGTTAAGGGCCTGGCTGTATTTCTGAAGTTTTCCATCCTGCTTTAAGCAAAGTTTTGTGTGCAGCGACTGTAGGCTTGTTCTGACTGGGGCAGTAAACCTGTGACTGGGCTGGCTGTCCCGTTCTGTGCTGGGGGGTGGCAAGTGTGGGGGGGGGGGGGGCGGGGCGGGGATGACCCATACCAGGAAGCAGAATTTATGGTCACCATTTCCAGATGTTTGGGGGAAAGATCAGCTTGATAGCTGAAGGGACATCTTATGCAGAACGCCTGGGCCTTTTCACTCGAAAGAGCAGTTTAGGGCTTGGCTGTATTTCTGAAGTTTTCCATCCGGTTTTAAGCAAAGTTTTGTGTGCAGCGACTGTAGGCTTGTTCTGACTGGGGCAGTAAACCTGTGACTGGGCTGGCTGTCCCGTTCTGTGCTGCAGTGACTGTCCAGATTCTTACGGAGGGATTCACTCCTGGAGGTAAACCTTGCAGGGAATTCATCGCTGTGCATGTAGCGGCTGGCGGTGTTTTGAGTTATGCCGGAGGCCTGCGGTACCTCGAGAGCGACTGCTTCAGGGTGCTCGACCTGCTTCCCCCCCCCCCCAATGTAGAAATGGGTGTGGGCTAATCCTGTGATCTCCCGCCTCAGTGAAATTCTATATGCAAAACGGTGAACCGGAAGCCCGCAGCCCAGAATTGGCCAAGCCCGCGTGTCAGATTCAGTCCTCCCACTAGCCCCACCCGTTTATGGCTTCTTGAAGGCTGCTAGAGCACAGTCCTCAGCCGTTCCTTGCATGAACTGCAGATGACTTCGGAGTTCCCTCAGCAAAGCCAGAGGCCGTGCGTTGACCGTTGTGGGTCTGCCTGCAGCCTCAGCCTGTAGTTTTCATTTAGTGGTGGTTTTTTTTTTAATTATTCTAGTCATCATGGCTGCAGCGTTTTAGTCAGAAGGCGACAGACCGTTGGGAAATCTAAAATCTTTCTTCAGGGCTTACGAATTAGATCTGTTTGTCAAGGTGGAACTGTCAGCTTGGGGCTCTTTCTGGTCTGAGGTGTTGTGAAATAAATAGTCTATCAACTGTTAGACACCTGCCATGATCAGCCTTGCAGATCAGTTGACAGATTAAAGGCAAAAGGTTTCCCTTGCTCGAAAGCCAGTCGAATCTGACTCTAGGGTTGCGGTGCTCATCTCCGTTTCCAAGCCGAAGAGCCAGCGCTGTCGGAAGACGTTTCTGTGGTCGGCATGACTAAACGCCGAGGCGCACGGAACACCGTTCCCTTCCCACCAAAGTGGTACCCATTTATCTACTTGCAGTTTCTTGCTTTCGAACTGCTCGGTTGGCAGGAGCTGGGGCTAACCTGCAGATAGTGCTTGGTAGGCCACTAAGAGATTTTTGTTTTGTTTACACTGATGTCGCACGGGAGCCTTCCACGACATCTCCCTCTTTACAGATGCTAACAGATTAAAGACAAGGGGAAAATATTGTTTCTTAAATGCAGCAGGCTTTCTAGGGCTCTTCTCCCCCCCCCCCCCCCCCCCCTATTCTCCCATAAGGGTGAACCAGGTGTGTTGAAGCTCGGGTTCAAATGTATTTTCATTGCAAGGGTTCAGCCCAAGTCCGTATGACAGTATAAATGGTTTCTGAAAAATAAGCGAAGTGCCCTTTTTTACTCTCTAGGTAACCATAACCTTGTACAGTCCTCCAGTTCCGTAGAGGAGCAGTTTCCCAGCTGTTTTCCATTCATGCAGCTGCAGCTTTTGCTGGAAAAACCCAAACAACAAAATTAGTGGTCGCTTCACACTTTGGTCTCCTTCTCAGGACAAAGAAAAGAACTGATATGACAAAGAGGCGATAAGATCTTTTTGGAAGACAAAGCCCACAGTAATCTAGGGAACCCCTCTCTTAATTACTGTTTTTTTAAAAAATTAAATCTGTACGAAGAAAGATACCGCCTAGGATCTTTTCAAAACAGAGTAGATGTCTTGTGGCATAGAAGCACTGGTTTGACAATTGATTTGGAACTGAAGCAAGTCTAAACGTTTTTTAAAATATCCATTGAAGGGGCTAACCTTATGCCAGGAAACACACTGCATGTTTGGAGGTCCAAGTAGGGATTCTGGCTATCCTGGAAGAAAATGTCCTGTCCCTTTAATAGAGACTTTACATGTGGAAATGGGCAAGCGTGAAGGAGATAAATCACATCCTATTAAGCCTCTGTTAAAGGGATGTGACACTTTTCTTCAAGCCACTTGGCAACCCAAGCTCCAAGTCTTGTGCATCTCAGGTAATTTCAATTTGCCGGTGGTGACCAGGTGATTTTTTTTAAAAAAATGACAACCCTGTCAATGTTGGTTATATGCAGGGCTCTTTTCGTAGCAGGAACTCCTTTGCATATTAGGCAACACACCCCTAATGTAGCCAGTCCTCCAAGAGCTTACAGAGCTCTTCTTACAGAGAGCCAGTTTGGTGTAGTGGTTAAGTGTGTGGACTCTAATCTGGGAGAACCGGGTTTGATTCCCCACTCCTCCACTTGCACCTGGCTGGATGACCTTGGGCAAGCCGTAGTTCTGATAAGAGCTGTCCTTGAAAAAGAGCAGTTTCTGTCAAGAGCTCTCTCAGCCCCACCTACCTCACAGGGTGTCTGTTGTGGGGAGGGGAAGGGAAGGGAGTAAGCCGCTCTGGGACTCCCTTGGGTAGTAAAGGGCAGAGTATAAATCCAATCTCTTCTTCTCTTCTTCTTCTACTGTAAGCTCTTGCAGGATTGGCTACATTAGGGGTGCGTCGCCTAATATGCAAAGGAGTTCCTGCTACCAAAAAGAGCCCTGGTTATATGTACCTGTGGCCATCTAGCTCATGAGCTGTTTCCAATTTTGTGACACTAGGAAGGGAATCCTATATCTGTTCTTGGACTAACATAATGGCAACTATCTGGACACGGCAAATGAGCAAACTCTTTAAGGTGTAAATGTATGTAAGCCTCACTTATGAGGCCTCCGAATGAGGGCAAATCACCATATATTGTATTTAAAATAACTATTGGCCACCCTGCCATTAAGAATGTGTCCGTATTCTGAAAGTGCGGCCTGTGTGGGGGGAGGCTTTAGATCCTTTGGTCCCTGAGTGAATTTGAACTATGGCAGGGCTGTGCTTAAAACTGAAGCGACGGACGGGGTTTCAGGGTACGAGAGCACCAGAATTGGGACTGGAGTTTCAAGCTGCCATTCCCCTCACTGGGAATGCCGTTGCGTTCATGCGTATCGCTGAGCCGTAGCTCGCGGTGTGATTCCTGCCCGCCGACCGGACTTCTTCCTGTAACCCAGCCCTGCGATATTTCCACTGGCTGTAAACTGAACCTTCGTTTCTCCTTCTTCGTTTCTTCTGACTGCTCTTTCTCCCCATTGCCTTCCTGCCTCCTTGATGTAGAAAAAGACATTCACACTTACACCAGCCTGTGGGAAAGCGAACACATTACGGAAGGTCAGCACTGAAGCTCGGTTCTCCTAAGCATGCCTTTTGTAGCTCCTGTTCCGTGCATGTTGCCTCCTGCAGGAAATTCCCTTTGGGGCGGGGGTGAGGTAGTTTGCCTAGTGACTAAACTTGTGCTCCCTATGTGTTCTGTGACCTCGCTGGGGAAAGGATCGGGCTCACTTTTATGTTTAATTTGAACCTGATAAACACTCGGCTTCAGCTAGCCCCCAGAGGGTCACCACCAGCCAACCTCCCTCTCTTCCTTTCCTTTGGCACGAGGAAGGTCAGCCCGCGGGCAGAGAGGACCCATCTGAGGAAGTAAAGGGGGTGTGGCCTGGGGTGGATGAAGGTGGGGCGCAAGGAGTGAACCCATGAAGCTGCTTCATCCTGACTCCAATGACCCATCTGAGGATGGATGAAGGTGGGGCACAAGGAGTGAACCCATGAAGCTGCTTCATCCTGACTCCAACGAGGAAGGTCAAAGAGAGGACCCATCTGAGGATGGATGAAGGTGGGGCACAAGGAGTGAACCCATGAAGCTGCTTCATCCTGACTCCAACGAGGAAGGTCAAAGAGAGGACCCATCTGAGGATGGATGAAGGTGGGGCACAAGGAGTGAACCCATGAAGCTGCTTCATCCTGACTCCAACCCGTGGTCCATCAGAGTCAGAATTGCCAACTTAGACTGGCTGTCTGTGGTTCTCCAAGGTTTCAGGCACAGATCTTTTCACATCACCTCCTGTCAGGTCCTTTCACTGGAGTTGTTGGGGGTTTAACCTGGAACCTTCTGCATGCCAAGGAGATGCTCTACCACTGAGCCACAAAGGAGCGGGCACTCTTTCTTGGGCCTCTTTAGATTGGTTCAACCGAAGCACCCCTTGGGTCAAGCGTTCCAGTCTCCCCTGTTGTGAGCCAATCTCCCTGTTCTCCGGGGTTCATCCAAAGCTGCGCCTCTGTGCCTGTAGAAGAGATTTATTTTCTTATTTGCTGTGAAAGTGGGCTGTGTAGCTTGCCAAAGAAGCTTGTCTTTGGTTTCCTCTGCTTGGGTGAGGGGAAAATTCTACCCGTCTGTATTCACAAGTGACGAGGGCAGGGGGCCATAGATCAATGGTAGAACACATTCTTGGCATGCAGAAGGTCCCAGGTTCAATCCCTGGCATCTCCAGCTGAAAGGACCAGGCAGTAGGTGATGTGAAAGAAGAAGAAGAGTTAGATTTATACCCCGCCCTTCACTCGGACTCTCAGAGCGGCTTACAATCCCCTCCCCTTGTTGTCCCCACAACAGCCACCTTGTGAGCAGTGTTCCCTCTGAGTTAGTGTGAGCCGGCTCTCAGTTTTTTAGCCTCCGGCTCACACATTTTTGTCTTCGCTCAGGAAGGGATGGCTCCAGAGCAAACTGATTTTATACAGCAGCCAAATTGCTCACTCACAACTTTGATGCCAGTAGCTCCCAAAGTAGAATTTCTGCTCACAAGAACTCCACAGCTTATAGGGAGCATTGCTGGTGAGCTCTTTCAAGAACTGCTCTTGAGAGAACAGCTCTGAGAGAACTGTGACTGACCCAAGGTCACCCAGCTGGCTTCATATGGAGGAGTGGGGGATCAAACCCAGTCCTCCAGGTCAGAGTCCGCCGCTCTTAACCACAACACCAAACTGGCTCTCTGAGACCCCAGAGAGCTGCTGCCAGTCTGAGTAGACAGTATTGGCCTCAATGGACCAAGGGCCTGATTCAGTAGAAGGCAGCTGCATTTGATAGTGAGTTGTGGCATGGAGAAAGGTGAGAGATTTAGGGGAAGGCTGGGTTGAAATCCACGGATGCGTTCTGCTGATGGTGAGTTTTTTGGGGCAAGAGGCCTTCCCATGATGCCAGGCTATGCAGAAGATACCAGTGCTAGTAGCGGCCGATTCTCTACGTTCAGCCTTGGCTCACTTGAATAATAGAGGAAGTTGGCCTGCACGATCAAGGCAGCTGCAGACCGTGGCTTTCAGGGGCTTCTAGGACACTAGGGCTTGGGACTGGGTTAGAGAGAAGAGGCACTGTGGGTGGAAAGGAGTAGATTGGGGGGGGGGAAGCTGTCTAGCTGGAGTCAGCTGGGGCAAGTTAGGGCAAGGACGTGTAAAGTACCCCCGTGGTTCCCAGTGAGATCAGAGTTAGAAAAGGGGGGCTAGAGTGGTGTTACAGAAGAATTACGAAAGGGGGTTTCAGCACCTGGCACGTTTCACAAAGTGGAACTTCCACAGCTCCATCCAGACAACTGGTCATATGATTAAAATCAGTTTCGGAGGGGAGCCGTGGGGGTTCGCAGTAGAACAGCTAGATTAAGTCCCGTAGCACCTTAAGAGACCAACAAGGTTTTTGAGGGATGAGCTTTCAAGAGTCAATGCTCACTTTAAGCAGATTTTTTTTTTAACCATAATATTTTATTGGATTTTAACTTAGAACATAACAAATAAATACAGGTTCTCAGACAACATTTTAACAATTTTTCATGTAAATGTCAGTGAGTATACAGACTTCCAAGTTAACTTAATCAAATACTGATAGAAGTTTGCTAGCTTATTAATAACAATGAGTATTTTGCTGTACTAATCGCTTTCCAATCGAAAGATTCAAAGGTTAATTTATCCACAGTTGGATACCATTTACCAGTTGGGTTCATTAGTTCACATTCATTTTGATCATTTGTGTTGAAAATGGAAACCTCACTTTAAGCAGATGATGAAAATTAGTAGCATGAATTTGCTGTGGGAAAAGGCAGTTCACCGAGTTGGGGCAAGTGAGGCTCTGTATTCTCGGTGCCGGGGGGGGGGACAGTGGGAGGGCTTCTGGCCCCGCTGGTGGACCTCCTGATGGCCCCTGGGCTTTGGCCGCTGTGTGACACAGAGGGTTGGACTGGACGGGCCGTTGGCCTGATCCAGCACAGCTTCTCTTGTGTTCTTAAAGCAGTGGGCCCCGTTATCCAGCCCCCAGATATGCTGCTCCTATCCAGGGTTGGTGCAGAGCAGTAGTTAAGGTTGACGAGGCTCCAGGAGACCTGGTCAAGGTCCCATGGCCACCGTGAAGGTCACCGGGCGACCTTGGGCCAGTCATTTCCTCCTTGCAGGGTAGGAGGATAAAGCGAGGAAGGGAAGAGCTTGTGTGCGTGCCACCCTCAGAGGAATGCACATGCTGCAGGTAGCTGGGTGTGGGGAGTGGATAAATAGGTAGATAAATAACCAGAAGGCCCTAGGGCCAGTAGACAATTGTTGACATGTGCTGGGCATGTAGCAGGTTGACTTTTTTCACACGGGAGAAGCTGGCTCTGGCAGATTTGTGCTTTGAGAAATGCTGTCAGAAAACAGCAGAGCTTTACGGGGAGGGTGTGGAGACGTGAAAGAAACCATGAGCTTGGGTCACCTGCTAGCCAGCGTGGCCTCCACAAATGCAGCCCTGTTAAGTCAGCTCAGTCGGTTGCAAGAGAGACTGGGAAGGATTATGCAACCCCAGCTGTCAGCAGCTCTTGCCGGGCCAAACTCTGGAGACGTTTCCCCCTTGCTAAGCAAACCAGGCAGTGGGAAGCGCCGTCTGCTCTCCTCCCCGCCCCCGTCTGCCTTCCTGGTTCAGTGGGCCTTGTGTAACCTGCTCCTCCCGCTCCCTTTGCTTGCTGTCAAATGAGGCCTTCGTATTTTGCAACAGGCAGACCAAGTAAGGCCCCCGGGACTGTCAGTGTTCCCATCTCCACCCACTCAGAAGATGATAAAATTCATTCATATAAGAATGTTTTCCGTTTGACTTAGTCAGTTGATAAAGACCACAACCACAACAACAAAAGATGCAGCTCTTACCTGTCTTCTGGGGCTGGATCTCTGCATGGTGGTTCTTCTGGTACTGGTCTCCCGTAAAGGATATGTGGCCATAATCCTGCTGCAGAATGTGATTTTCAATGGCAGCATCCGACGACTGCAGTTTATTCTCGGGTCTCATCTTTCAGCTCCAGCTAGTTCCCACCCAGAGCTTCACCCCACACCCTGGGAAACTCCGAACTAGGGATGGGCATGAACTGGCTCATGAGCCAAAATTTGGGCTGAACTTGGGCCGGTTCGTAGCTCAGGAACCAATGTTCAGGGAAGGTGCATTCCCCTAATATTTGCCTGACTTTTGGCTGGTTCAGTTCGACTGTTCAGGGCCAGCCATTTAAGCCTAACTGAGCAGCCGTGGACCCCACACTGCTCAGCTGTTAGGTTTTGCTCCCCCCTCTTTGAAGCAGCAGGCAGCAAAAAAAAAAAAAAGTTAAATGGCTACCAGCCATTTAAACCTAACGGCTGAGCGATGTGGGGCCACTGGTCAGCCATTAGGTTTAAGAGGCTGGCAGCCATTTAAACCTTCATTTTTGCCCCACACCACCTTGAAGGGGGGGGGTAGCAAAACCAAAGGGTTAAATTGAAGTCCCTTCCTGGGTGACCCCCAGCCCCTTTCTCCCAGCTGGGGTGAGCCGTGGCTGGGAGAAAGGGGGAAAGGAAGTCCTTGGGCGATTCCCTCCTTTCTCCTGGCCCTGGCGAGCCACGGCTGTGAGAAAGGTGGAAGGGAAGTCCCTTCCAGGATGATTCCCGACCCCTGTTCCCCAGCTCTGGCAAGCCACGGTCGGAAGAAAGGGAACCAAACTTGCCAGTTCAGTTTGGGTGGGACCTGTTCGGGGGCTGCCCTGAACCGCCTCTTTTAGGTCTGTGCCCGTCCCTACTCAGAACTCTGAACACCCAGTGTCTAATGATTGCATATTTGACAACTTGCGTAATTCTTATTGCATACTGTGTGGTGTTTTGGGTGGGTTGTCACTCTTACAGCAGTTCAGAGTCCCCAAGGCCTCCCTTTCCTGTTGAAGCAGCACTGCCTTGGAGTGAGAAATGTAGCAGCGTAGATCTGGTTGGTCTGACAGGGTGCGCTCAGAAATTCACAGCCACTTGCAGAGGGTTTTTTTTAAAGGCCTTCAAATCCACAAGATTCTGAATTTCACATCATTTCCGGTCGGGGGGCAGGTGGGGGGGGGGGAGCCTGAGTTTGAGAAGGCCAAACCACAAGAAGGTGTAAGATAGTGCTCTAGATTCCAAGTACAAATCAGAAAAATTAAGGAGGTATATCGTAATTTTTTCCACTATATTCTTTCCCCAATGTCTTGTCATGGGGGAATAAAAATGCAAAATATGTCTTCTGTAGGGCATGAAGTTAATTGCCTACAGTCCAGGTAACACAATGTGGCCGGAGCTGGGAGACCTGGATAGAATTCTTGCTTGGGTGTGGTATTCTCCATAACCACTACTCAACCTGACTATATCTGTCAGGTTAATAAAATGTATCCAATGTCCCATGGTTATCTTACTGACGGAAATTAGGAAATATTGGGGCTTACCTAGAAATTACGATAAAGATCTTAGAACCCTTTCATAGAGCATTGGCATTGAACCTGGTGGTGGTGGTGTGTTCCAGCCAAACAATTGCGCCTTCTTTATTTTGATTACTTCTCTCCCTTAGGAGGCAATACTCGTGCTATAGGTATGCTCCTTCAGTACAAGGCGCCGGGGTCAGAGGAACTCAAACAGTTGAAATTCACCGCTGGAGAAGACTTCAATTCCAACAAGAAACTGTCAGCAACTTGGCTAGCAGCCATGCACAAGGTAAGTGGGTGAAACGCTAGATACGAACTGAATAATTCCTCCATGCAGTTAACTTCAGTGGGCCAAGCTAGAGAGTCCAGTGTCCCCAAGACTGCTGTGGGAACGATGTGCCTTTTTATGGCCTGGATTTTTACTTCTCGGGGTGCCACGGGGCCCCAGTCATGTTGGAGACCTACAGCCCAGGTGGATGAAGGACTCCTGCCCCCCTCTGTTTTCAAAAGCTGGCTTGAAAATGGCTCAGGGCAGAGAGGAACCCCCTCGTTCCCCCTTTCCAACATTCCCAGCAGGATCAGACCCCACCCTTGACATTTGGAAAAGCAAAAACCCTGACTTATTAAATGGTGCAGCGTCCCTGGGGTGGTCTTGTCTGGTTTGGCCCCCTGTTGTCCCAAGTAGCAAGATGAGCAAAGATGAGGAAATGGCAGGGAATTTAACTCCCTTGCTTGTCGCTTGATAGCTCAGGGTTGGGTGGGTACAGAGTGTGCACTTTAGCTTTTGAGGTACTAGGAATATAACAGCAAATCACCCTTGAGACTGTTTCTCACTCAAGTCAAGCTTATTCTAGAGATGCTTGCTCATAATAGGCTTGCCTCTAAGACACCCTTGATTGCTTTGATTCCTCATCTTAGCAAATTTAACCCATTGAAGATGTAAGAAATGCTCAATGTAATGAGAAATCCCAGGGAAAAAGTTTTGCCTTTGAAGCTTCCTTAAAGGTCAAGCACCACCACTTAGTGATCTGCATTTTCTCTCTCTTTCCCCCTTTTGGTCTTCTAGGCGGCAAAACTTCTTTATGAATCTCGGGACCAATAACTTCTGATCTGAGGGGGAAAAGATGAGCTCTCAGAATAAACATCTCACTTCCTGCTAGTTCACATGGTAATAAGTACTTGGTAATAGAGGGAACCACCCTGCCCTGTTCTTACCCGCTAAATGTGGTTCATTATGTGAGCACTGGCCAATAACGATGTATTTGACCCATAAGTATTCACTTATTTAGTGTGCAATATGTATACAGTGCATTAATGCTTTAAATATAGCCTTGCCGACTTTATATTTTGTTAAAATCGTGTCTGCACTTACTATGTATAACGGAAGTGTGACCTGCACTACTGCTTAAATGTATAGCACAACTTTTGTAGTACAGATTATGTATAATTCACTATAAAAAGGAAACACTCATGTTCGATGCTCCCGAGAATAGCTTTTCAGGTGTGTAGATCTCAGGTTCTCCCCCCCCCCCATCTAAATGATCTATGAAATCTGCCTTAGGTACCCTTTTATAGAAGCCACTCTTTCTTGTGGTGGGGGATTTGTATCATGATATTAAACACTGCTCTTGTAAAAATAAGTCTACCAAATGCCACAGATTGTCCCTGTGAAAGCCAACCTTTTTGAATGAAGCTTCCAGCAAGACTGTTTTGGTGTTTTTTTTGAAGTTTTATATTCATGCTTTTTGTGGTAATTCTAGGTTTGGCTAATAAAACCTGATTAAATAATATTTAAAAGTTGTGAGTGCTAAGTGTGTTTATTAGCTTGTAAGAATAATCACCCCATCTGGAGCTGCCATTAGGTTTCACACTGGGTGCCAATCAGCAGCTTCGACACTGAAAGGCAACAGGTGGTCCCATGCGCGGGTAGATGTTGTTCCTGCTACATTAACACCACGTAATGTACTGTGTTCTGAACATCTTACATTCCCCATTCACTTTCTGCTGAGCAATGCACTGGACCTCATGGCACAGTGGTGAAGCTTGTGCTTACACCCAAGTTTTAGTTTAGAAAAGAGATGATTAAGAGGGGACATGATAGAGGTTTATACATTTATGTGTGGGATGAAGAGTATTGGTAACTTTTCTCCCTCTCCCAAAGTACTAGAATTTGAGAGCATCCAATGAGGCTGAATGGCACTAAATTCAGAACAGATGAAAGGAAATAATTTCTTTACGCAAGTGACTGAAATGTGGAATTTGCTGCCAGAGGATGTAGAGATGGCCACAGAAGGGAATTAGATTAATAGAGGATAGTTGTATCAGTGGTTACTAGCCATGGTGACTACAGGGAACTGAACCTCCACATGCAGAAGCAGTCAACCTTTGAAGCCCAGTGCCAGGAAGCAACAGCAGGGGAAGGCCTCAGCCCCTGTTGTTGGGCCAATAGGGCCTTACTGTGGTCATAGTAGGCTACTTGTTATCTTGGAAATCTTGTTGACCATCAGCTTCCAAGGAATCCCACCCTTCTTTTAAAGACAAGAAGAATTTTGCTGCTTTGGTTTTCAAACTATTTTGTGAATCCCATTCTGTTGTCTTAAGTCACCATCTTCAAATGCCCCCCGGCAGTGCTTGATGTCATGGAACATCAGAAGAATTCTAGCAAGCTGGCCTGCCCCCTACCGCTAAGGAAACACAGTGTAAAGAATGGTGTGGCTAAGGCAATGCGACAGATTTGCAAAATAGACTTTTCCACGCTCACTCCCGCACAACTTCTCTTTCAAAGAATTTAAAAACACACACGTGCAAAGTGCGACCGTACTGTAGCAGTAGTTTTTATTGTGCACGCTGGATGAGAAGTGTTATCATAGGCTCACATTCATTTAGCAAATATTCTTTTACAATAATACCCTTTTTCACTTCTCGTCACCACAATATATACAATTAATGCTAAACAGTGGTAAAAGCAACTTACAGCACTGCATCCGTGGATATATAAATTATGCACAACATGGACATGAATACAGCCCCATTGGCCTACTGTCAAACTGGGAGGAAATTATAAAACATGTGGCTTGCCGCTGAATGGGAAATTCAAAATAGACTTCTGTGTATAAAATCATGTACAATTGATATTCCAATGAAGTGCTTTTCTTTCTTCTTCTTTTTTTTGCTTGAAACTACACTGTGGATTTTTAAGTTATTGCATAACTCACCCCTAGCACTAGATGCAGGGCTGCCGAGAACCACGGGCACCGTCTCAGCCCAAATAGCAATTTGTCTTGAACCATAACAAGTCTCTCCTCCTCCTCCTCCTCCCCTGCATGCTGCACAACCAACCTGGCCTTTATTCCGTCCTTCGCTCACCTTCCAGCTAAAAACCGAAAGGCCCTTAAACTGAACCTCTTGGCATATTTTTTAAAAAATAACCTTACTCTTACCCCCTTTTCAACTATTGCACTTTTCTTCCGTATAAACATACAAGTCCCTCAAATCTGAATGTGGGTTTGTCCAGAAGAGGCAATCCAGGGTGTGGCGGGTGAAGAAGTATAAAACGGGGAAACGGGGAAAGTTAAAACCGGTGCTTGTAAGCGGGAGTATCAAGAAAAAACATCAAGTGAAGGAGGAAGTGCTGTTTGGAGAAGTGCACAAAAAAAAAATCCATCCAGCTCTGATGCTTCTCTTGTTTTGTCAATAATGTCTTGATACTAGAGGGCTGTTGGCGACTCCCAGCGGTCAACTCTCACCCAAGCTCTTTTAAGGATTTAACACAGTAAACTCAACATTCAGCTGACAACTTTTAATAGCAAAAGGTCTTGACATGTCAGGATAGTTACTGTGGACTAGAACAGATCAGACAGCATATCTGCATTTTGCAAAAAGTCCCCCCCCCCCAACATTTAGCACAAGTACATTTGTTCTCTTTAATTTGACTGGCAAAAAGAAATGCTGTAGGCTGTGTTGAGTACCTCTCCCCAAGGAGCGGGCGAGTTTAACGCAGAGCAGACCTCACTTACAAACAGCAGATTGGAAACCTCAAATGCTGTCCATTATATTAACAAGAGCACCATTTAAAAACAAGTATAGCTTTATTTCTCCTGGTGAAATGTGACTGAAAAATGTCTCCAGTGTATACTTTCTGTCTTCCAGTTGCCAGCAAGATATTGCACTGCCAAAGGTAGAATTCAGGCAAGGGTTCGTTGCCTAGGCTTTATTCTTGGGTATAACTGCAACAAAATGAATTTGAAGTTAAATTTGGGCTTTATACTGGAACTAGCTATTTATTTCAAAGATGATGATTACTATAGGCTGGCATTACATAAAACCATTTTTAGTAGAAACAGGACGAATCTTCACCACGTTAACCCCGGCATTTGGAAATGTCTGTGAGGTACTATGTTGGATATTTCGAAACAGAAACTCCCCACATGTCCTCAGGAAAGACACTGCTAGAGTGAGCTTTGTGGACAAAAAGAGGAGGGTTTACAGTCAAAATGGGAACTGGGGCAAAACTGGCCCTCTTCTGATAACTCCTGCCTTGGGGCTAGCTTAATTAATTATTTAATTAGATTTTTAAAAATCCTGCCCTTCCCTGCATGCAGGGCTCAGGGCGGCTCACAACAATTAAAATCATAGATAAAATAATAAAAACATTCTGTAGTTCAAATTAAGCATACCAAGATGGCCCAGAAACCCAGAAGCATGCTCCTATGGCTCTATAAAGTGCCCAAGACTAAAGAAGCTTCAGCTAAGAATCACTTACTGCACCAAGGTAGTAAACAAGCTACACTACTACTTGATAAAGCAAACCTGGCCTTTGGCCAGCGTCTGATAAAGAGCGGAAAGCTTTAAAGCTAGGACAGCCTAGTTTCTGTACCCAGGAAGTAGTTACGAATGCGCTGGATAACATATTTGGCTGCAGTAGGGAAATGAAATCAGTCTCCCTTCAAAATATTTGCAGGACTGAAGTTTAGCAGGTTACTGCTATTCAAGGCCTTAGCTCACTTTCAAGGGCCTGCAGGCTCGAAGCCTCTAGTCCAGAGAGTTCCAAAGCAGATGGACCCTACCCCATGTTCTAATCCGCTTGATGCCTCAGTTAAAACCTAGCACAGACAAGGCCCACTTGCTTTTTTAAAAATATCACCAGAGATTCCTTTTTCACAACCAGCTTCCGTAACAAGTCTCTGGATCTTAGGAAAGGGATTTTTTTAAAAAAAGTATCAACCAATTAAAAAAAAAAAGCATTCCAAGACTTTTTTTGTACAGCAAAAAGAGGAAAGCTCGTGTGCTTATCTTAACCCTTCAAAACGACTTCAAAAGGGAATTAGATAAGCATATGGAGCAGAGGTCCATCAGTGGCTATTAGCCACAAGGTATAGATAGGGACTCTGAGGCAAGTGATGCTCTGTATTCTTGGTGCTCGGGGGGGGGAGTCAACAGTGGGAGGGCTTCTAATGTCCGGGCCCCACTGGTGGACCTCCTAATAGCACTGGTATTTCTGGCCACTGTGTGATACAGTGTGTTGGACTGGATGGGCCTTTGGCCTGATCCAACATTGGCACCTCTTATGTTCTTATGTTAACCCTGAGTGGAGAGAAAGGCATCTCTCCAGTGACACAAATATGATCCTGCAGTTCAGATTTCTTCATCTCTGTGTTTGGAAAGATAATTCCTGTTCCCAGGAGGTGATTTCTTTATTGCAGATGAGAGGGAAACGAGGAACACTTTGAAAACTGCACTTGTCTCTGAAAGTTCATGGAGGTGTCACAGCCTCCCATATTACAGACACTACCCCTTAGTACAAGTAAAAACTTATTGGGAGCAGCCCATTAAAAAAAACAAAACGCATCCATGATCATCCCAGGCATCTTCAACGGTGCAGGAAAAGCAACACGGCACAGTCCACCCAATGTTGCACCCCTTTAGTCTGACAGAGGGGAGAAGGGAAACCATGCTCATCTATTCCATTGTCCATGGGAGAAGACTTGCATGTGACTAATATGGTCAAGAAAGTGAGCCTAAATGTACACTGAACTACTTAAATCCTATGACCTGCCGTTTCAACCACCTGTTTTTGGGGAGGGGGGAGGGGGGAGCGTTCCTGGCTATCAGAGAGTGAGAGGCAGAGGACCAGGGGTACTATTGCACTGAGCTCTAGTAACCTCCCCTGTTTTAAAAGCAAAAAGATTTCCAACGATTCCCGCCGTAGCAATGCTGACACTGCCTGGAAAGCATTTCATTTAACCAGCGCAGAACACAACAAGTGCCGCTACACTTACCCCCAAGACATTTTTAGGCACATAGCCTTCTTTGTCATTGAGCCGAGCCCACCACCAGTCCGTCTCGTTGTCGTCTTTGCGTCTTAGGATGGTGATGGCGTCTCCTTCGTGGAATGACAGCTCGTCATTGTTCTGAGCGTCGTAATCCCACAGCGCGTACACTACCCCTTTGTTCATCACTCCCAGCTTCTCTTGCACACCTGTTTCCAAAAGGAGAGTGGGAAGGCAAGCGGTTTTCTCAAGACGATGCCTAAACAATAACCATCAGTTGAGGAAACGAGCGCAACACGGCCGCCTGAGTGCTCTCGTGTGACTGGGGGTTCACTTCCAGGGGCAGGCCGTACAAGGCCTATCAAATTCCATTAAATCCAACCACAGTGATCAGAACGGGTTCTGAGGGAGATGGATTCGTGACACAGGAAGATGAAGGCAGTCTCCCTTTCCCCCACTCTCCACGTGACTAAGATACAGTACGCCGACGTGTGTTTTTTACGCCCAATGGTAAACCCACCCTGAGCACTCTGGTCAAGTAATAATATGAAGCAGACTTTTTTTTTGTAGTAGTAATAGTAGTACATAGGAAGAAATTGAAGCAGGCGAAGATGTCCCTGTCTCCTGGAAGTGATCGGCCCTTTGCCGTCATTCGAGTTCAGAAGCAGTGGGGCCCCAATTGGAAAAATCAATTTAAACCACAGTGGCATATGGTATGAGCATGGCCCTTGTGGCAGGAAGCCCCACTACCCCCCTTCCTTTACTGCTTGAAGCGGTAAATGCACATTTGTGCTTCTCCAACTTCACCGGACTGGACAGTATCCTCCCAAAGTGGCCAAGCTATACTTTTGGGGCCTAGAAATTACTCCCACTGCAGCTGAACGAGAAGAATTCAGTCTCCCCTAAGTCTAGTGACTTCACCATTATGTCAACGGCTATTTCTCTGGTCCACGGTAGAAAAGATTAAACTGGAGAATAGCAGACAGTTCCAGCTTGTGTAACAGTTGTTGTGTGTCCACTTTCTGACTTTCTCCCACTGATACTTTTTTCCTCCTATACACACCCAACATTGATACGCACAAACAGTGACTAACCCTGCTTGCTGAACCAACAACCATCTGTCCCTAGGCCTCACATGCTGACAGCTTTTGTGAGATTTCTGAATAGCTGGAATCATTTCAACCAATGACAGCCAGAGCTCTTAAGAGCCAACAGCTATGGAGGTTTCCAAAACTGCAATCTGCAGTCACTTTGGGGGGTTTTAACCCACCCTTTTTTAGTTTTACATAATTGGGCAAAATCACTAATTCTCTGCAGATTCTGTACTTTGATACCATCATGTGGCTCTTAGCTCAGGCTAGCCCAATCTTGGAAGCTAAGCAGGGTTGGCCCTGGCCAGTATTTGGATGGGAGACCTCCAAGGAATACCAGTGTCATGATGCGGGGGCAGGCAATGGCAAACCACTGCTGAACGCCTCTTGCCTTGAAAACCCCACCAAGGGTCGCCCTAAGTCAGATGCGACTTGACGGCACTCTCCACCCCCATGTGCCTCTTTACAACCACAGTGTGTGTTGCATGCCTTAAAAGATTACCCCACATTTAGAAGCAGATATGGAGATTTATGTCTGAAGCAGGTGCCGAAAATACTGTAGACCCTTAAGTGCCTTAAGCCAAGCGCTGAATCTTTGACTCAGACCTGTATCTGTTCATGCCAACTCACCGTACAGAAACTGGGAACACTGAATGTAACCCTCTTCCATCTCCTCACATTTGTCTGCTGCCGTTTCTATGTCACTTATAGTGGAGGCAAAAATCGCTGCCCCGGATTCGACGAGCAGCTTACAGAGGTGGACGCTGTTGCAAGATGCTGCACAGTGTAAAGGAGTCCTGAAATAAATCAGATATGTACGACTTGATGCAAGGCAAAGCAGAACATACAATAACGTGCCAAGATGCAGTCTTGGTTAAAGACAAGCCGAAGGAGGGCAGAAAACTGTCTTGTGCCAAGGGATATCGCTACTCTAGCTGGAGTGGAGGGCAAGCCAAAGAGAGAAGCTACCCGGGAGCGTGAATTCTCACCGTTTTCTGTAAGCACTGTCCTTCGTCTGCAAGATGGGAGTGCTCTTCTAAAAGCACCTGCTTGATTGGTTGGGAGAGTCACCATGGGTGCTTACAACCAGACCACCAGGTACCCCCCCTTTGACTGCACGGGACAGGGCTTTGCTCTCAAGTCTGACACAACGGCTGAACATTATAATGGGGCTCTAGTTTTTGCTGCAGAGCCTGGATAAAGGTGTGCGCTGCAGCACGGAATGCTCTACGCTGTGCTCTCACCATCCGTCGCTGTCGGCCGCATTCACATTGACTCCGAAATCCAGCAGGAACTTCACTATGTGGTGATGGCCGGCACACACCGCATTGTGCAGAGGGGTGATTCCTTCGTCGTTGGGCTTGCTGGGGTCATCCACCTGGAGCCAAACAAACAAACAAGAGGGACTCCCTCAGCTTAAAAAATCTTTTCTTCTGTGATGACAACAGAGCCAAAGAGTTGAGCCACACTGGCGAGCCTCACCTCGTAGATGATCCTTTGCACCAAGTCGAACTCTCCTTCCAGGGAGGCATCCAGCAAGAGGGCCAGCGGGTTGAACTTGACCCTCAAACTGTGGCCGGTTCTCTCGGAGTTGGGTTTCTTCAGGTTGGTCCGTTTGGCCTGAGTGATAAGGGGACAGGTATTTTCAAGGGCACAACCGCCTCAAGGCTTTGAATCACATTCAGTACAAGTGAGGATGGTCAAGGCTTACTGCCTGGAACGAAAATCACTAATAACGGGAAATAAGCCCTGCCTAGCTCTGTTTTCCGGCATGTCACAGCCAGACAGTCCACCACCCAACGGCCTCGATACAACTGAAAGAAGGGTCTGGTTCTAGCATGTTGTGGCAGCAGACAGCAACCTTTTCAGACCCAGAACCAAACTTTAACTGCAACCGGCAACATAAGAACATAAGAGATGCCAATGTTGGATCAGGCCAAAGGCCCATCCAGTCCAACACTCTGTGTCACACAGTGGCCAGAAATACCAGTGCCATCAGGAGGTCCACCAGTGGGGCCAGGACATTAGAAGCCCTCCCACTGTTGACCACCCCCCCCAAGCACCAAGAAGACAGAGCATCACTTGCCCCAGAGCCCCTATCTATATCTTGTGGCTAATAACCACTGATGGACCTCTGCTCCATATGCTTATCTAATTCCCTTTTGAAGCCATCCATGCTTGTAGCTGCCACCACTTCCTGTGGCAACATGAGAGCCAGCATGATGTAGTGGTTAAAGCGCTGGACTAGAACCTGGGAGACCCAGGTTCGAAACCCCACTCTAACATGGAAACTTCCCAGGTGACCTTGGACCAGTCACACCCTCTCAGCCTGACCTACCTCACAGGGTCGTTGTGAGGATAAAATGGAGGAGAGGAGAATGATGTGAGCTGCTCTGGGTCCCCATTGGGGAGAAAGGCGGGACATAAATGAATAAACAAACACGGAGTGGGTTTCCTCCATACACAGAGTGAATCTCTTCCATACATGCCAACATCTCCCCCCCCCTCACTCTCCTGTTGCTTAAATAACTTAAACATAAAATGCACGTACTGCTGGAACAGCCCACCTAGATGAAGAAGGCACAGCCCAGCTGAAGACCAAAGCTCTGAAGGTGGATCTGCACAACCTGCGAGCCAAACAGAGCTCTCAAGCGGCTTAACAAACCTCCTGTTTTACCTGCCTGTCCAGGAACGCATCAAAATATGGCAGGCAGCCAAGCCCCTGGCAGGCAGCCACACCTGTCTGTCTTCAGCTGTGCAGGCCTACCAGCAGGTGTCTCTCCTCCAAGAGGGAGGCTCACTAGACCTCTTCCATCCCATGCTTGCCTGTCTGCAAGGCTTGGCCTCAGGAACACTTCTGTCCAGCACCCAGCTTGACTGGCCATTGGTGTGTACTAAGGGGGCGTGTGTGTATGGGGTATCGCTGTACAAAGGGACTAAAGTGTACAGCCCAAAGAGGAACACAAACTTTGTCAGAGCACTTGGTAAAGTGTGGAAACCATGCAGCTACCTTGCTAATCAAAACTCCCGCCTGCTTTCCGCAGCAACTTACTACAGGAAGCGGAGGAGGAGGAGGAGCAGGGGGCAGCTGCACTTCGTCTTCCACTGGGGTGTTGCCTTCGGGGGTGGGACTCGGGGGGCGCTCCACAGGAGGGACCACGGCAGGGTTGTTGTTGTTGTTATCGTCCTCCGTAGGTTCAGGTGGCTGAGGCGTGGTGTCTGCACTGATCAGCTCCTCCGTCGCAGGACATGGAAGCTCATTGTCGTTGGCATCGGACGAAGGTTCGTCGGGGAGAGGAGCCGTGGGTGGTGCAGGAACGGGCTCCTCGATGTTGCCGTTGGTGTTGGCGTTCCCGTTATCGACGTCTGCCAGTGTGCCTATGAAGTCCTGGGAGTTGCCTGGCTGATAAAAGGGGGCCCCTTCAATCCCCCCCGCCAGGGTGTTAAAGCGCTGATACAGGAGCTTCTGTATGTTGGGTCCGCTGGGCCCTTCCGGCTCAGTGATGGAGCTTCGCTTTTTCAGAGGCCTGGGGGCGTTGGCCAGTTTCCTCCTCAGAGCCTCCAGGTCAGCGTCACTTTGGTAGCGCAGGGGGGAATGGACGATGGGCGTCAGTTTTGTGGGGCTGAGGGGGCGGGGAATGTTTTCAACGTTCTCCCCAGAGGGCGGGGCGTTCTCCACCTCCTGCTCTTTTTCACTACAGTCGCTCGGAGGCGGAGGCTGTGGTGCATTGGCTGGTAGAGATCCGTGAAGGAATGGCAACGGCGAAGGAGAAGTCGAACCGGACTGGACCACAGGCTTCCCGTAAACTGAAGGGGGGAAAGAAGCCATGAGGAACGGTTCTAAAGCAACACGGAATCCCTCCAGAGTCAGTGCTGGTGGTCTCTTTCCAAAGTCATAATAAAAATAGACAATGGCGATGGCTGATTTAGAAACCACTCCTAGTGCATGATGAAACTACATAAAGCAACCAATTTTTTTCTTCGGCAATTGCAATAATTTTGATAGGGCTAACTATTATTTGTGGTCAGGTAGCAAAAGTGGAGTCAGATTTGACTGGCTTTCGAGAAAGGGAAACCTTTACTTTTACCTTTACCTTTTAGCAAAAGTGGAGATGATTAAGGAGAGAGTAAGCCCACTTTTCTTAGGGATCTATGCCAGGTTACTAGAAAAAGAAATATCTGGGAAAGGACTGGGAGAGATCAACAAAGGAAGAAAAAAAAGCCCAACCACGTCCCCTGCAAAGTAACCTGTCATATACAGTCCACAGTGTGCTTTGAAGAAGGGGAAGAAGGGACAGGATGCCAAGGTGCCTGCCAAACCAACGGAGCTTTAGACAACAGCTAAATCAAGGCTTACACTACAGGGAAAGCAAGCAAGCAAACAAAACAAAACAAAACACACACAAAAAACCCAGGATACAAAATGTTCCTGCTCACAAATACCGTAATCAGACCAACTCAAAACCTATTCATGTTAAGGGTCCCAAGACACTCTTCTGCATGCACACCAGGGCTTTTTTGCTTTCCTTTCTCTCCTTGCGTCTCCTGAAAGCAATTCCTGAGGGTAGGGA